TTGGGTACTGCTTTGTCATTGAAGGTTTGGCGCTAGAAAATTGCTTTATTTTGTAAAATTTGTAAACATGCTTTATGATTACACTGTATGTTTATCGAATTCTGTTTACTCTTACTTCTGAGCTTCAGGTTTTGAAAATCTTCTTGCCTGGACGAGGAAGGGCTTCTTACATTCCCTGCTCTCTAGATTGAAAGATTTTCATCATTTTATAGTCACTATGATGATTTTTTAACAATACATTTCTGCTCCCTTTTAGAGAAGGAAGTCAGCGTGAATCCTTGCTCGAGTTTTGGAACATAGTGAAGACTCCGATTTTCCACGTTAAAACGCGGAGCTTGAGTTTGCTTGGTGTTGAAGCTTTAATCTGGATCAACTCTTATTTGTTATCTAGCCATTTGGACGGCTCAATTCTTATCCATCAGCTGCATCGGCCTGGCAGTTTGGTATGGTATTTTTTATTAAATAAATTCACAGTTTATTTGTTTGATTCTGTCTATTTTAGAGAGTACAAGTTTGCCCTTCACCATTATGGACCTTGGCAGCTTCTAGCGGTAGTCGCTTTTGGGCTGGGTCAGACGCAGGCGGGGTTTTTTTTCTCACCTTAGTCAATGGAGAAGTGGTTGTAGGAAAAACTGTTAACATTGGTAATTTTCATTATCAGCAAATGGTTTGGGCTAGTTTTTTGAGTGGAATTTAAAAGTTATTTTTGATTTTTTATCCCAAAAATTCAGTCGAGTTGCTTCTTTATTATATTTATAGTAATTGCTGATTATTCAGGATTTGGTTCACGTGTTATTTCTTTGGCTGCCAATGAGAAAGTCGTAGCTGCTGGTTCTATAGATAAAATAACCATTGTTGATTGTAACACTTCAAAAATCTTGAGGACCCTTCATATCCCTCGCAGTGAAAAAAGGAAACCAACTATTGCTTGGTCTCTTGGATTTTTGTAAGCTTAAACTTAGTATTAGTTATTACTCACGTTTAATCTTTAACGAAAAATTATAAATTTCTAGAAATAACATGCTAGTTTCTGGCGATTCGAGAGGTTGTGTATCGTTTTGGAATATTGAGAATGGTGCTTTGATCCAAGTTGGCTCTTTTTGAAGATACTGTCTCAGAAATTAATCCATTAATTTTGTTGTAGTATTGTTACATATTTATCGTAATAATTCGTGATGTAGAAGAGAAAAATCTTGGAGTAGTTGGGCTGAACATCAACCACCTTTTCTCATTTAACTTTCTCGCTTAATTTCTAGAAACATTTATCCTTCTGAGTACTGTGAAATTGTTTAATGGGATAGCTGTTAGATACGAGCATGAATAAACGCAAGAGCAACCATGTTTTGAAAAGCTAAGAGTTTAATTTCATTGGTAATAAAATATTTAAAGAAATATAATAAAGGACTTGTCAAAGAAGTAATTTGGGGGTTAGGGTGAAGAAATGAAAAAGCTATGCGAGATGAATTGTAGCGATTAGGTAATTATTCGTGTCACTTATAAACTAACAACTTTCTCAATAATTGTAGATTCTTAAATCTGGAGTTTTTTTTTTAAGAAGTATGGCATAATAAAATTATGAATAGGTGTTATATGATTACATTGATTTATTCGTTTTTGGGGCTTGTAAAACTAATAAGGTACATGAGAACAGAAGCGTGAAAAATTACTTTCCGAATTCAAAAAAAAAAAAAAAAACCAGATGTTCAGCTTCATTCGCTCAGGACAGGTTTTTTGGCATAAATTAGTTCAAATACAACTTGTCAACAGATATAATGTTCGCAGTTTATTGTAGACTTATGAAAAACACCAGGCAGATGTTTTATCTTTGTGCGTTGCTGGTGATTCAGTTTATGCTGCTGGTGTCGATCCAACAATAATACATTTTACCTGTGTTCAGGTTTCTTTTGCTTAAAAAACACTCATTTTTTTGTTTTTGTTTTTTATTTCTTTTTGAGACGTGAATATTTTCAGGACTACCCTTCTGTACGAATAACAAACTTTCGACGGATTCACTTAAATGATGTTCGCGCACTTGTTTTTTCCGGTGGTAGGCTATTTTCTGGCGGAGCCGAACACAATTTCCTTCTTAGTACTTTTGAAGGGTGTCAAGGTGCAGTTAAAGTTGTAAGTATATTTAATTTCCACTTTTTTCTTTATACATTGATATTAAGTGAGTGATTTTAGCCGGTTGCCTCCTACGTTCCTAAAAAAGGCCTTATTCTTTATCAGTATACTAAGTATCTCATTATATGGCTGCGGGGCTCGCCTGAACCCACTTCTACAAAGGATGGAAAATTTATGCTGTTGGAAGAGCCAGTGAAGTTGGCAAAAATTGCTGCACCTAGGAACGAATACATCATTTCAAGGTTGTCATTCGTTTAAAGAAATTGTTGGAAAAGCCGTTTTAGTCAACGAATAATTTAATGGAACTTCTCAAGCTATTAAGTGGGAATAATTATTTTTAGTGCCATCAATGAGGATGGTAGCGTGTTAGGATTATCTACAAGTAAATCACTGAATTTGTACGAAACTTCTCTCCCGAAGCTTAGTCGGGACAATGTCTCGTCATTTTCAATTGCGATAAGAAAATTGGCTGAACTAGATTTTTACGCGTCGTGTATGGCTTTCTTAGAAAACCAGTTATTTTTTGCTACTGATTCTTTGAAGATTTGTAGCATTGACTGTAACCGTCCGGAAGTTCCAAACACTCTTACTGTCCGTGGTATACTTTATATTTGTAAAGCTATTGATTTTGATAGAAAAAATTCAAGGTTAATAAGGACTGAATGTTGCTTAGTAAACTTTGGTTACTTCAAGGAGCTAACTGTATTAAGTAGTTTTTCTTTCCAATTTTACTGTGAGGAGGTCATTTATTTGAGAAGTGTTGCTTTTAGAGAACTCGGGTGAGGGAACTTTAATTCGAGTATTTCGTCGTAATGATTCTTACCAAATAGCATTGTTGACGACTCGAAATGAACTATTGTATAAGTCTGAGGAGTCGAGTGATGTAAGTAGCTTTCTTAATTACAGTTTTTCCACTTTGAAAATTGTTCTTCTCGTATAATTAATGTTGATAACGTTGGTTTTTTTTTTTCAGTTATATTCGTTGGATTTACAAAAGTTGGACTCGCCGCTAATGGATGTCCAGTTTACAACCAGTGGTTCTCTCTTGGTTTTGTGTGCGAGTAGAGAACACGCGTTTTTTGAATGTACTCTGAAAGCTAAAGGAAAGAACAAGAAGAACTGTTTTCTAGTGGAGGAATTCGCTTCTGGGAAGAGTACGAACGAATTATTAAGGCTCAGTAAGAGGGATTATGTCCAGTGCTTCCAAACATCGCAATGGGGAATATGTTTAGTTTCAGCATGCGGCGCGGTTCGACTACTAGTGCCTTATGGCGAGGTAAGGCCTTTAAATTTTCCCTTTAATATGGATTGAAAACTGGTGATGGTCCTCAGATGAAAGTAATAGTAGGATAATTTTTAAGCGGAGGTTTTCCAGGGAAAGTTTATGTGTTTTAAAATTATAATGCAGAAATAATTAAAATTAATTTAAGAAGGGATTTGCTGAAGTTTGATAGTTCTTTAAGATAAGGAAAAATATTGTGTAGAGCTTCTTGAAGGTGGTGAAGAAGCAGTAGATTACGCGTAGAGCCATAGTCTCACGTACAAAAGAGATATGAAGAATACAATTTTCCGAAAAATTAAAAATTTTTTGTGTTGAGTTTAGTTGCCTTAGCTTCAGGAGGCAAAGATGAGGTGCTAGAAAATTATTCTTTGCCCTCTGTATTGAATTTTGCAAGATTCTTGGATTTTAACCACGTGTAATTTTCTAGTTAAACATTTCATTTAGAAAATTGCCGTGATGTATACTGGCTTTGAAGAGAGGTCTAAGTCAGAACAAGTCCAGCCATGTTCTATTTCATGGATAGAAAAGAAAAGTGTTTTGTTATCACTTCTAAGTGGACCTTCTGAAATGTCACAGGAAGGTTTTTCATTGCGAAGGTTTGGTAGGAAATGATATATTCATTGTTATATGTTGCAGTGTCGCGGCTCCAAAAATTTGCTCTTACTTCTTCCCGTCCTTTACAGTTACACGCAGAATAATTTTAAACTAACTGATAACGTGTAGCTGTGAAAGGTAATAGACGAGACTTGTAGTTTTGCTTGAACTTGCCGGGCAGGGTTAATGGTTTTGGATAAGCGTTCAATTTACGGAGTCTTAATAAAGCGGTTATTGTGAATTCATTTCTCCTAGAAACCCAATAATTTTTCTACATAATTTTTTAATAACGTTAGTGGTAGTGATATTAGCTTTAGTCTTAACTCGTTGTTGTCTGTATTCTTGTTGCTGTTGTTTCCATTGTTGTTGTTGTTCACTGTTGTTGAAGGAGCTTAAAAAAGTTCTTTTAGATCATACTGGTCGCACTGAAGTTCTTAATTTGGTGCAAAAAGTAGAAATTCTCTTATTTAAAAGATCTTTATGGTACTTGGGCTAGTTGGGCTGCGGGTTCATATAAGTTCTAAATGCAGCAACAGAAAATGATTCAAACTCTTCGAAATTTGTTGTAAAAGTCTAAATCATTTCTGCGTAAAATTCGGCGAGCCGAAGGTACTGCTGCGTGCTGTTTTCCGGCCAGTGGAGTGATACTGGCGGCATGGCTTCCTTGAGTTTCATCATATCTACATATTTCAGGTGATGCTATCAGACAAAGTGGCTCTAATTTTTTGAAAATTTCGCGTGAGTTTAGTAGGGTCTCATGAGACGTTCAATTTCATGGCTTCCGCTCAAGCACTGTTGCGTTAAAACTTCGCACCCATCTTTCGTAATGAGAATATCGTCCTCTATACGCATGCCAATACCACGAAATTCTTTTTTGACAGTATTGTCATTTGTGCGGATGTATATACCTGAAACTTATGTGCGTCATTACACTTTATGTTGCTTCCCTACATTCTTGTGAAAGTAACCACATACCGGGTTCTACGGTGAAAACGACTCCAGGAACCACAGGTGTGTTCCGAGACACGGTAGCAGTGTCGTGCACATCCATCCCAAGGTAATGACTGACATGATGAGGACAAAGCTTATCTACCTCCTAAATCCAAAAAAAGAGTTAGATGGAACGGCGATAGTCACTGTTTACAATCTTAAAAATATACTAATCTGCACGGCCAATTTGAAAATCCTAAAGCAGCAACTTATAAATTACCAATTAATGGACCTTACATGAATTAACTGCTGGCCATCCAGTTCACCAGAAAAAATGTTCAGTTCGTACAAGTTTTTCCCTAATTCGTTTATCATTTCGACGTACAGTTGGTTTAACGTCAGAGGCCTTACAGTTTCAACTATTCTAAGAAGTTCTTTATGTACGTACAAGAGGGCTTCGTAGAGGGCCCTTTGAGCACTCGTGAAGCTTCCTGCAACAGGAAACACCCGAGTTATATCACTTATGTAACCTTTATACTCGCATCCTGCATCCACCAATACGCAGTCGTCCTCGTTTAATTTCTAAAACTACTTTTCAAATGTTAAGAAGATAATTTACAAGTCAGAACGGAATAAGGATGAGAGCTTTATCAGGAGAAAAAAAAATTTTAAGACAATAATGGTTTAAAAAACAATTAAAATAAAAAGCAGCTTTTTCAAAGCATTAATCTATGAAAGTTTAAAAAATTTGCGACAACACTCGCTTTAGAACGTTAACTACACTCAAATATCCTAAACCTGATTTGCATCAAGATAATGTATCGTATTGGCACGGGTCCCGCCAGCTACGACGGGTGGATAAGCAGGATATGATGCTCCTCTGCGCCTCATTTCTAGCTCAAGCCGTCCTACAACCTCGTTTTCATTTTCAATACCAAGACATTTCGAGATCATTGCGTTCATTGATTTTGCCCCTACTTCACATGTCTTACGCATGAGATTTTGTTCGCTCGGCGACTTCACCCATCGTACCTTATCTATATACTGACGAAGAGGCAGAATTTGTCCGCAAGGAGACAACACCTAAAATATCAAGTTCCTGCCACTTGTGATACGAGGTAATTCAAGAAGAAAAATTTTTCAAGGACTCTAAAAAGGATTCAAATAATCTGATCTAAGCGAAATAAAGTCTTCGACCAAAGTTTCTAATTTTCAAAATATTCTTACGTCGAATACGCAATCTCCCCTTCTAAACTGTTCCGTGTCATAAGAGGCTATTGCAGACCCAATTTTCTCAAGATCTTCACCCAGCAATCCAACGTCACGAACTTCATCGACACCAGAAATCGCTGCAATAGTTGCAAGAGATTGTCCTGGGCCTTCCCACAGTTCTTCTGCAGCCGTTTTTTCTGAAATTGTTATCATGTACCAAGAAGTTTGTTGAGATTACAGTAATTATCAGCAATGGTAAAAATTTTAAACTTAATAATATGTAATATTGTTGAAATTTTTGATGCCTCCAAATAATTGGAAGTTAAAGCGCCAGCTTCCAATGTATATACTTTGAATAAGAGCTTTGTTAGACTTATCAGGAAAGAATCTCAGCTATAACTGAGGCGTCAACTGGTCAGGAATAAAAGCCAAAATCTTTTCAATAAAACTCCAACTTATCTAACATACTTGTGACGTATAAAATTGATTGTGGCCATTCATTGTGACGATCAACAATCGTCAGTACGGATTTCGGTTGCACTAATCCAGTCAGATACCGAAAATACGACGATTCACGATACGGATACGGAACATCCGGTGCATAAAACTGCTGTCTTGCTGAAGCTATAACGATGACAAGTGGGCGTCTCGCCTTCTCATCACTAATGTCGTCCCTCAGCCGAGCTGCTAATGTCCTTCGGCGGTCAATATATTCATGCTGCTCAATAGCAGCAAATTCCGCAGCTGGGGAAGCAAAAGTTGAGAATGGCACCCAGGATCTTGCAAATATTGATGGAAACATTTACTGAATCAAGTAGAAAAACATCAGCAGAAACAATACAAATAGGATGGTTTTTCTCATTAAAAATCTATTACATCATGAAAATGAAAATCGTTCGCGCTATAATTTTTAATGTTCGTCAAATACTTCAGTTTTCGCCTTACCTTCTCCAACTTAATCCTAACTCATATGCTATACACAGCAAATTACATCCCAGTACAGTCTCTCATACATAGGAACTTCCGACTACCGTAATACAGTTTTCCATTGAAATTTTTATGGCAAGTATTCAATGAAAACATGGAAATTTTGAAAAAGGAAAGCATGTTTAGTTCTATTTATATATTCTACCTTTTTCAAATAACGGTTGTCGTATAGAACTTTTAAAAAAAAGTGCAGCAAAAAATGTCAGAGCGAAATTTCAATAAAAATAACTGGTCGCTTAAGCCAATAAGTTGGTGTTATAAATAAGTTCCATCGACACGACTAAAGGATAGTTATAGTAATTTTGCCAGTAACAAGCGGCATGCATCCCCTTTAACTTAAGATAAGATCCTGTTCACTTATCAGATCTGGAACATCACTTGGGAAAAAACAGAGTAATGTACCCATAAAAAAGCACTTTTAATATTAAAACTGAGAGTACTCTGCTAGAAATAACAAAAAATACATCCATCAACTCATCACAGAAATTAAACAGCAATAAGATACAACGTTGGACCTTTGCTAGCCTGATAACGACACAAAAGACCCATACCCTAACAAATTTATTACAGCCTTGGCACAGCTGATGTACCTTACCAGAATCTTAAATAAATCGAACATGCCATGATCACTTATGATAACAAACGCCAAAAACTCAACTGACTACCAGACAAACAGCATGCAGTCACAAAGCTAAAATAGTGTGGACCACATCTATCCAGAACGCAACCATCGTCCTGCAACAAACCAACTACAACTCCATCGTCAAAAATTAACTAACACGCATGACTAACTTAAGTAGGAAGCCCTCAAAAAAGTCAAGAACTACCAGGATATCCCCTACCTTAACTTATTCTCAGCTGAAAGGTAGTAACACAGCTAAAACTAACCTTAAAACATATCAAAATAGGAAATGAAGGAATTTTGAAATATCTCCCCAATGTAGTTTGCGTAACATTAATACATTTATTTTTCCTTCTTTCCTGCACAACCTTCAACGATCTACACAAACGTTCTTCAAAGTGATGTGTACTAGAACGGAAAATGACAATGAGCATTTTATCAAAAATACATAGTTTCTGGACAGCATTCAAAGTTGGGAAAAACAAAACAAAATTGTAAGCAGCGAGCTGAATGCACTACTGAGAAAAATTACGCACCCGATTGCTTTAAAATATATCTATTTCTGTGAAAAAAAATGGAACAGTAATAATATGAAAATGTGTAAAAGAGGAGGAAAACAAGGGAGAGAAATTAAAATACATTGACGCAACCAAACATAAATTATGTATAATGAATAACAAGCATTTGAAGAAAAAGACTGAACACAAAAGTGATTAAAAAACAAACAGAATAGTCTCGCAGACAACTTGAAAACACAAAAGAAGGAGAAAAATATTATTTTTCATTAAAAGTCGAGCAGAGAACTACATCCACCAATATCCATCAATGCTCAGGAAGCACCCCAATGTTGTGGTGCTGTGTATGTTTTTTTATTATGTGTGTGATGTGGAACCTGTTGAGAAAGATAACCTTGAGGAGCTTGAGCCTGATACATTTGGGGAGGAGGAGTTGCCTGCGCCCCGCCGCCTAAGCGGTCTTTATTTCCTGCGCTTGTTCCATATTTATCAATTTGTTGATGAGTCCCACCATAAACCTGTTTTAAAAACTCTCTCAATTTACCACAAAAAAAAAAAAAAAAAAAAAAAAAAAAAAAA